AAGACAAAGCTCATAGTAAGGTGTAGGTTATCCCTACCTCGAAGTTAGAGCCCGGGTGGAGATGAAGACCAAAACCAAAATGCTCCAAATTCTGAAATTTTCAGATTAAAAAGACGCCCTCGACGATCAACACAACTTTTACAAAGGCCGAAGAGAAGGAGGACACTCTAACTAGATCAAACCCTAGAGAGAAGGGAGTATCTAGAGAGAGAGGCTCTCAAAAGGGTTTTTAGAAAAAGTAGGAGAGAGAAAGAAAAGCAAAAAGTGATTTGAAATCACCCAGCGGATAACTCATATACGTATGACCCGCTCGAGTGCCAAGAACAAAACTCTGGACACGCTCGAGCGCAATAAGGCCCGCTCGAGCGCCAAGACACAAGAATAAAGCACTTCCGCTCGAGCGCGAAAATCAGTCCGCTCGAGCGCAGATTTCCACCACCTAGAACTTACACCCAGAAAGTACTACCCGCTCGAGCGCCAAACGACCCGCTCGAGCCCCACCGCTCGAGCGTAAACAAACCTGCTCGAGCGTAAAAACCACATCTGCAGAAGTTTTGCAGGAACACGAAAATACTGGAAGTGTGCAATCTCCGCTCGAGCGTCAGAAAACCCGCTCGAGCGCTAGACTAAAAACCAAACTCCACTCGAGCGCAGAACGACCCGCTCGAGCGTAACACCAACATCCTGGGCAACAAGGATATAGACCAAGGCTTAACCCACCTGTCCAACACAAGCCCATAAACATCCTAAAACTCAATCAAGTAGAATTAAAGGACACAACAAGATAGATACCACTACCAACTTCACGGAACCGAGTCCGGAATACAATAGAACAGTAAAGGGATAACCGGGATCGCTATACACCCTCCTCTTAGGTTGCTTTTTGGGTAACAAACCCCGTGCATACTTTTTGGTGGGTGCAAATATCTGTCTTTAGGAAAGCAACTTAGTAATGTGACTTGAAGAATCCATTTTTTTGTTTTACATAGACATTTTGATTGCCAATTTTTGAAGACCCGAAGACCACCAAGGAAGAATTCAAGAAGAATTTCTCTAACACAATGTTCCAAACAATAGAAAGTGTGAACATTCGCATCTGTTCTCTTATGTTAAAGTTGGTGTGAATGTTCACATCGTAATTTATGTTAATACCTATTTCCAAACACATATTGTCCTATTTTTATTGTGGTTGACTACATATGTGAATATTCACATTTTACATAAATTAGGTATTTGATCCATCCACAAACATACTAGAATTAATGTGAATTTCCACATCTGTTTATCAATTGAGAATATTCACATCATGTTTAAGTCTAAATAAACATTGTGGCTAGTGGTTATATGACTGAATACAATAGTGTGATATGAACTTTAACATCACCATTGCATAATGGTAATGAATATAGTGAACACATATACACCATTTAATATTATATAGGTGTGAAAATATTCACACTAATGGACAACACAAATGACAATTTTTCATTACAAATTAATGTCAACATTAACACTAATTAATGATGTGATGATGTTAACAAAAGACAGAAACAATGGAAGCAACAGAACTAGAAATCTAAAAAATATCAATCTCTCTAAAAATAAAAAAATCATTATCGACATCCTCATCCTCATCTTCATCATTATTACTATCATTAACAACATATATAATTCCACCATTACACTAATTCAAATCAAACCAAACCCACATTTGAAAAACAAGTTTGTAACAAAATCGTGCTTCGAATCATGCTCTCTCCCTTCGATTCAAATCCTTCTTTCTCTCTTTGATTCAAATCCTTCTTTCTCCCTTTGATTTCTTGTTGAAATTGCAACTATGGCAGAAAACTGAGTTTCTAACCTTCGTCCAACAATTCTCAACTTATAATGTTCCTACAATCTCTGACTGTAACGAAACAAAGCTTCAACCTACAACAATGGAGAAACACATAGCTTCGAGCATAAAACAATAATTTACAAACACAGAGCTTCGAACACAAAACAACAATGGAAGAAAAAAAAACTTCACCGTAATAAATGAAGGAATATAATATTCTCTGGCCACCGCGTGTAAATTAGAGATTTGAAACGCTATCATACAAAGATTCAAAACGTATCAACCTATTCCGACAAAATTGATGATCACCAAAATTGCTTCTAGAAAGCTATGGAAATGTGAATAATACAACTGTGTGAAATACGTACTACCAAAATATAAAGGAGTATAATAGTCTCCAAAAAATTATAAATTAGGAAAAAAAAGAATCTACTGGTATAGAACTCAAAATATATGGGACTTGGTGAAATATGAGAATACTTTATGGACTTATTAGGTTATAAGTCCACTAGATAAGATTTATACATAAATCTTAGTACTTTTTAACATTTTTACATATTTTAAAGGCACTTTTTATATACTTTCCAACTTCAAACAATACTTAAGGAATACTTGTTAACATTTGCATATATGAAATATATGACTGTAGAATAAAGTACAACAAAACAAAATCATATATTTAAAGTAAAAATTAAAAGCACCTTTCGCTTAACTTTCTGATAATCAATTTATGTAAATTGTTTTAACCTAATAAATTAAAAACAGAAATTGTACCAAACAGCCTGACTCAAACTCTCAATTTAGAATAAATTATAATCACCTCTTTTAGATTTTAACAAACACCTCTCTATCATTGTGGTTGAAATGAAATTTTATTCTTTCTAAAAATCTCAAACATTTGCTTTTTGGGGACCACAAAAGAGATGGCTAAGGGTGATAAACGAATCAAATAACTCAAGTTCGACTCGTGTTCGACTCGTTAAAAGTTCGTTTGAACTTGATTTGTTAAGTAAATAAGCCAAATTTAAACATATTTTGGAGCTTGTTGAAATTCGAAAACGAAATTTGAACAGCCAATTGTTCGTTCAACTCAGTTCGATAAGTCTAAATTTATATAAAAATACCAACTACTCGAATTTAACTCAACAAAAACTCGTTTGAGATCGGCGCGAAAGTTTAATAAAGCAAACTTAAATAAATTTTAAAACTTGTTAAAATTATCAAATCAAACATGAATACTTTTTGATTTGATCAAAAAAAAAAAAATCTCTATAACCTTCTTCAGATCTCAATCATTGATGTATGTGTGAGACTCACAACATTATTGATTGAAATCCAAAAAGAATTGTAAGGGTCCCAAAAAAAAAAGTCTTTTGATTTATCACCCCAGCTACGAGTGTAATTTATTCATATTTTATATAAATAAATTGAATTATATTAATGACATGTTGGCCTGCTATTGGCTTGTTTTAGTGCTGTGATTTGGCCTTTTTGCCTGCGAAACAAACCAATAGAAAGAACAACGCAAAGCAAGGCGAGTCCAATGTGCCAACAGCTCTTTTTTGCTTTCAATCTCTCTCTCTGCAACTGCAATCCTTATCTTGAAGCTTTTGAATGCGTGACCGTCATCATGTATATAACGACCTACTCGTCAGCTGCGCTTCGCAGGGCGTCAAGGACTAAGTTTCCAATCAGTGCCGATCTTTCAGCTTCTCCGCGTTTTGTTCTGTTCCGCGGTGGATTCACGGCGTCGATTGGAAGTCTCCGGCGGGTCTGACTTCGAGCGGAGGATCGCCACCATGGGTACTGTTTGTGCTTTTCATTGCCTTTGTTGGATTGTTTCTTTTGAATTGTGATTGTGTTTACTAACGCTGTATTTGTTTGGGAATTTGGAAAGGAATTGAGAAAAGTTAAGTAAAATTTAAATAAAATATAGGTACATTTTATTTTATCTAGTTTAACACACTTTTTCCATTTCTATTTCTAAATTCATTCCCAAATCCCCTAACCAAACACTAGCTAAACAGAATCTTATGTTCCTGTAAAGTTATATTTCTTTAAAAAAAAAAAAAAATTGGTACTTAGTTCATTGTTTATGTATTAGAAGATTTTGAATTTTTTACTTTATTTAAAAATTGTACTAGAACTATTTTTTTAATAAATGTAATGTGCTAATTCAAACTATTTACAACAGTATTTTGATATCATTTTTACAGTATAAATCTTAATGTTGATTTTATAGTTTTGGTTTGAATTAGACTCTTTTAGAAGTTGCAATTAATAGTAAAATTTTGCAATCCTTTTTTTGTTGGCTAGTTAATTTTTTGCAATCTTCTTGTTTATCTGTATGTGTTCAGCATCCGAGCATGCTTTCAAAGGAATATTGACTGGTCTTCCCAAGCCAGGAGGTGGCGAGTTTGGACAATTCTATGGCTTGCCCACTCTGAATGACCCGAGGATCGGTAATTATCTTGAGCTTGTTCTGGAATTGTAACTTGTATCTTCTTCTTTTTATTATTTATTTGTTTCCCTGCAAATTACTGCATGAATGCCATATAAACAGTCTATATACCCCAAAAAAGAAAAAAAAGATTGTAATACTTGTTATTAAAGGAATGCCTTTTATTCTTGAGTCAGTTGTCATGTTGGATAATATTTTCTTTGTCTACTCTGTCCCTTTTGATTTTTGAAAAATTTCTACTTTCCCATGTCATTGTTGTAGTAATATGTATAATCTTGAGCCACTTTTTTCGGGTATGATTTTTCATTCTCAAGTAATATTATTTTATATTTATCAATTTTATATACAACAAATGAACCTTTGAAATGCTTTTAGTAGAAATATCCTTCTCACCATTACCAGTTTACAAGGTTTTGTGTTTATGTTGTATCCATGACTTATCACACTTTTTTTTTTTTTTTTTTTTTCCCCTGTTTGCATAAAAAGATATGCTACCATACTCTATTAGGATCCTTCTTGAATCAGCAATTCGTAATTGCGACAACTTCTAAGTCACTAAGGAAGATGTTGAGAAGATAATTGATTGGGAAAACACTTCTCCGAAGCAAGTTGAAATTCCCTTCAAGCCTGCTTGTGTTCTTCTGCAGGTTTTTGTCATTATTCTTCTTCATTGTGTCAATAGACATGTATCCAACTTCTAAAATTCTTCTTTTGTGCCAGGATTTTACTGGTGTACCAGCTGTAGTCACCTTGCTTGTATGCATGATGCCATGAACAAGCTTGGAAGTGATTCTAACAAGATCAATCCTTTGGTGAGTGTCATTCTCATTTACTACATTTATTTTATCCTCCAAGAATTAGATTCCTGAGGTAGTTGCTTTTGGATATTTAGTCTGTGCAACTCCGCCCCCCCAATCCCAATAGAGGTCCAGCCCTGTCAATTTGAGTAGGAGCTTTAAATATTGGGACTAGACACTAGTAGCTTGTAGATTCGACTTGGCTGCAAATCCTTTCATCCATCTTTTTTTATCACATTATTTTCTGTGTTAATGTTTGTAGTTAAACCTTTCCCTTCCTAGTCCGGGAAAACTCCAAAAATGAACCTTATTAAAAAAATTTAACTTCATATGGTGCATACATTTCATTTCAAACCATGCCTCAACTGTCATGTTACCATATCATTAGCATTTCTTTAGGTGTACTTTTTTTGCCACAGTTTTCCTTTCAATGATCTATTTATGCAATATCCTGCATGCAGGTTCCGGTAGATCTTGTAATTGATCATTCAGTTCAAGTTGATGTTGCAAGATCAGAAAATGCAGTACAGGAAAATATGGAGCTTGAATTCCAAAGGAACAAGGAGAGATTTGCTTTTCTTAAATGGTGGTCAAATGCATTCCAAAACTTGCTTGTTGTTCCTCCAGGTTCTGGTATTGTGCACCATTTACGGGAGCTTGACTGAGCAGCTTCATCTATAGAGCTTTAATATATTAAATTGCATATATATCTCAATATGTTTGATGTGCAATTATGTATAATCACTGTATAAGATTTTCATTTCAAGCTTTGTGTTTAAATTTATATATATATATATATATATATTATGAAGAGATGCTTAGCAATTGTAGTTGTCTTTTCATTTTCAATTGTCTTACCATTTTCTTAGTCATGTATATAATTTGAATTTATTAATTGGATTGTCATTATGGCATTTCAGGTTAATCTTGAATATCTTGGACGTGTTGTTTTTAACCTTGATGGTATGCTCTATCCAGATAGTGTGGCTGGAACTAATCCCATACTACTATGATTGATGGATTAGGAGTTGCTGACTGGGGAGTTGAAGGTATTGAAGCAGAGGCAGCAATGCTTGGCCAGGTAAATAATGTTATTGAAGTGATGGAATTGTGAAGTTTTCTCCATACTTAGGATCGAAAATTAATGAATTTGTTTTCTTTGACCATAACCACTATGTTTATGATGGTTGTGGTAGTACCGTAAGCATGTGCATTTCCTTTTACATAATGCTATCAAAGCACTCAATGAGGTATAACTCAATCTCAATGACATAAGGTTATGGAATATTGTGGCATATGGCCACACATGCTTAATTTATCACTTCAGGTGTTGTATGTACTGAAACTTAAGTAAAATACCATATTTCCCATCAGCTATATCATTACTTACTAAGGAAAGAAAATTGGCAATAGGACTGGTGTATTTGTTTCTTGATCTGCACCACTTTTAATGGAAATGAGATGAACAAATTTTCTAAACCAACCTGGTTTTGGCGTAAAGGACTTACTTTGATGCAATTCTATCTATGTGTTCATGTGCTTTTAACATATATGTACTGGAATAATCACGTATGATTGGTTTATAGATGGGTTAGGAATGGCCTTGGTTGGTAGCCTCAAAACTTGAGATGTGTTTGGGCCAATGTCAAGATGATGCTACCTCTAATCAGTTTTACATGTTGGACTCTTATATTTCTCCATAGTATCCGTGTTCACCAGATATGATAAGAGTATTGGTGTGAGATGTGTATTTGACACCACTACCTAATTTAGACACCTGGATCCTCTAATTTTATATGATTTTCGAAGAAGAAACTAACATTTGCTAGTAAATAAATATTTGTTGCCTTTCACATGGAAGAGGGATATAACATATTTCATATTTTCCCTAAATTCTATTTAATTTCATGTAAGTTTTTAAATAATTTATATAATATTATCTAAGAATATTAACAATACGCAATTTATACAAGTATTCAAGACATGTCCCATACCCATACCCAACTTTAATTTAGGTTTAGGAAGGTTTGATGCTACTTGCACCCAATACTTGTATCCGAGTCCATATAGCATAGGTATTAGCTCACATGCCTACACATATGAGTCATTTCTTTAGCATCTGACACTCTCAAGGCTGTTTATGCTTTTGAGTTTTGTTATCCAGGGCCTTGCTTTTTTTCCCCTTATACTTGTATGTTATAATCAAACCATCGAATTTAAGGACTCCAAAAACTATTTAAATTTAGGCCTCGTTTGGGAAGGCTCTGTTTTAGCCAAAAAGTCAAAAAGTTACTAAATTAGCCAAAAAGCCAACAACCCATACTAAAAAGTCAAAGATTCTCTTTTCTCTCTACTTTTTGCACATCTTTTCGTAATTAGCCAAAAAGTCATCCCAAACATACTAGTTTTTTTAGCTTATATTTTAGCCAAATAGCCAAAAAGTTACTAAATTAGCCTGTTCCCAAACGAGGCCTAAGTCTTATTTGCATGTGATTCTCCCATGGTCACTACTCTTGGACATGCTTTTGGAAATTAATGCATTGAGTAGAGTCCCCTGCATTTCAGTTTCTAATGTTATATTTTACTCAATGACAGCCATTAAGTATGGTATTACCTGGTGTGGTTGGATTCGAGTTGTCTGGAAAATTATGCAATGGTGTCACTACTACTGACTTGGTTTTGACTGTGACCCAAATGCTAAGGAAGCATGGTGTTGTTGGCAAATTTGTTGAGTTCTATGGTAATCAAACTGAAGCCTTGGTACTTTTGAACTTCCATGTTACTGTCAATGGTAGATTTAATGTTTTCGTATGTCCTTATTTGTAGGTGAGGGTATGGGCAAAATTTCGTTAGCTGACAGGGCTACCAATGCTAATATGTCTCCCGAGTATGGTGCAACAATGGGGTTCTTTCCCGTAGATCATGTTACTTTGCAATATCTAAAATTGACTGGAAGAAGTGAGGAAACTCTGAGTACTTTTCAACATTTATGTGTGTTCGTTTGAATGTGGATGAAACCAAGGACAATGATATTGATAATAGTGATGTCTGTCTTGTCTTGGTGCTTGTGATATATATTTTCACAAGGTAACACTCTTTTGTGTTGAAATTCAGGTGGCAATGATTGAAGCATATTTACATGCAAATAACATGTTTGTTGACTATAATGAGGCAAGACTCTTTGTTTTACAATATGATAATTTGCTTTTTAAAGTTTCAGTTGGATATAATTATCTTTTTCCCCTAATTTCAGCCTCAGCAAGAAAGAGCATACTCATCTAGACCTTGCGGATGTTGAACCTTGTATTTCTGGCCCAAAGAGGTGTGTGCTCTGTGCATCTTCAAACTCATGCACACAATGCAAATGTTGTTATTTGTTATCATACATCTAACCATACTTACTCTTATTGATAGGCCACATGACCGGGTTCCTTTGAAAGAAATGAAAGCGGACTGTCATTCTTGCCTTGACAACAAAGTTGGGTTCAATGTAACTGTTAAGCCATTTGAGCATTGAACTTCTTATGATGTCATAGCCAGATTAATCTGCTTCATTATAATTCTAGCAGTTTTATTTTGAATCAGTTTACTGAATTTGCTTTTTTCTTTGCTTTTTTATTGCAAATGTTTTCTTGTTGTAACGAACATCAGACATGCTGTTAGTGTACGTTGGTGGTGTAGTAGGTATGACTACATCAAAGGAATATTTTCTAATTACCAAGGAAATATGGGATAAACTTGAATGGACATTGAAAGTTATATTGTGTTTTGGTGGTGTTGCCATCGTGTATAGCCTTTGATTGCTAGTATTTGTAATGTTTAATTATGGTGTAGGGCTTTGCAATACCAAAAGAGGTACAGAACAAAGTGGTGAAGTTTTTGTTCAACGGACAGCCTACGTAGCTTAATCACGGTAGTGTTGTCATTGCTGCTATCACGAGCTGCACAAATACATCAAACCCTAGTGTCATGCTGGGGGCTGGCCTAGTTGCAAAAAAGGCTTGTGAACTGGGTCTGCAGGTTAGCTGTGCTCTAATGACCTTTATATCTCTGGTCTAGTGTTTGTTTGTTTGTTTGCCATTTATTCCCCAAATATTTCACAGTCAACTCTGATTGATTTTTACCTAGCCAGGAGATGCTGTCAAGGGCTCCAATATTTGATTCTTACATTTGCTTGAATGATAATTTCCCAGGTCAAGTCATGGATAAAAACTAGTCTTGCCCCAGGTTCTGGGGTTGTTACAAAATATTTACTTCAAAGGTATTCCTCGTAATTTTTTTGCAGATTAAGTTTAATAGCTATCTAATGTAACACTGATATTTTTCTGTCCCTGTTGTGCAGTGGGCTGCAGAAGTATTTAAATGAGCAGGGCTTCCATATTGTTGGATATGGCTGCACAACTTGTATTGGAAATTTAGGGGATTTGGATGAATCAGTTGCTTCTGCAATATCAAAAAATGATATTGTTATAGATTTTTCTAAGTGTCTGTGACTTGTGTAAATAAAATTGAGCATAGTCATTGTTTGCTTCTCACTTATAGGATTATCAAGTTAACTGTCAAATCCATCTAATTTAATTGTGGTCAGACGGAAGACTGCAGTTAAGGCAAGTAATGTACCAATAAGGCCGATTGAGCGGCCAAAGCAATTAGCGTTAGATCTGGCTCCACACGAAATGTGGCTCTGTCAACCGGCAGGGATATTGAGGAGGCCATACTCAAGGCCACAATTGGGTCCTTCAAAGCCGAAGCATCAGAGGCAATCGGCGTATTCCTTATCCTTGGTTGAATAGTAAATGGAACAACCAAGTCCGATTCCTCAACGCAAGGTCGTTTGTCGCTTCGGTCTTCACCGTGGACGGCTTCTTGCTCTGCGGGGCACTTTTTCCCCATTTGCTCAGCCTCATCCACCCATTCTACCTGCTCCATCTCGGCTGTTTCGATTTGAGCCGTTTCTTCTGCAATAACAGGCGGAGTAGACTCAACGACTGTGACGGGTGGAGTTTCCGATCGAACGGCCTCGGCTCTCCTCCTGGCGGCCATCCTTTCGGCGTTTTTCCTCCGGGCAAGTTGTGTAAGCGATTCCCCAGCCATATCCTCAGGATAAGCGCCAAGAAGGTCTCCTAAGTTTGTAAAAATGTCTTCGAAGGAAACGTCCCCTTGGCCTGATGTGGATGGAGGGTCGGACGAATTGAGTCCAGCTTCCTCAAAGGCCAAGTTAAGATATTCGTCTACCTCGGCTTCCAACTGATTCAGGTTCTCAGCGACCGGATCGGCTGCTTATTCTTCTACGTGTTTCGAATCGGAGGCTTCTAAACCAACCTCCTTTAGGTTTTTGAAGCCGGGGAAGATAAGGGCTGTAAGATAATCTTCGCCTCTCGGAATTGGAATATGGTCTGCCGTAGAAAACGTTGCGTAAGTCGGCGTGTATCACAAGAGAATGTGGGCCGCCCTTCCTTGTTTCTGAAGGTTTGGACGGCCAACAAACTGTAGAGCGATTTTAATTTCCGCAAGTACACCATTGTCGGCTGAAACCAACACTTTCTTCAAATTGTTGCCTGCATAAACAAAACGGTAAATACATGGAAGGAAAGCCGAATACATATAAGGTGAAAATAAACTAGAGTGAGCTATACGGCTACCTGGTTCGCCTTTTCGCCTTGGCATGGGATCTAGGCGATCTTCACCCTCGCCGAATTCCTAATTGCCTCGGACAATGACCATCACGTCGTCGACACGCTTGCCAGAGCTGGCAAGCATA